TTGGGTTTAACTTAAAACACTAACAAAATATTAAGATTTTTCTACAATACTAACAACAAATTAATATTTAATAGTATTACAAAAAGATTCATAATTATTATCGTATAGTATACAGTATTCTCAATATATTTGAACGTTGTTTGGAGATTTAGTTTAATTTGAAGATATCTTAAAATATTTGTACGAAAATCTCAAACAATTATGAAAAGTGAGAGAATGAGAAGAGTTTGTGGTTTTCAGAAGTGATTGCATTAATAACAGAGGAGTGAGTGGAGGATGTGTTGCAGACTCTGCACTGTCTATGAGAGCCCACAGTTCTCGCTGTCATTCGTGAGACATAACTCTAACACAACATATAATTTCTTAGCGAACATCACATTAATCCGATTCTTGAGATCAAATAGATCCCAGGCTGTGATCCCTGACTTCATGTGACCCTTAGATTTGCACAAATATTTTTATATAACCTCTCGAATTGTGATACAAAATAAATATTATTTTATTGCTTCCCAACGGAAAATATAACTTAAAAGTCAACCAATTATTGGACTAAAAGAAAACTTTTCTGAGAATTGTTTGATATATGATATGTGGCTAACATTGGGAATGAGTCTCACATTCCATACACAAAATAAATTTAAAATTCACATTAAATTCAATAAAAAATCGCTTAAATAGTAAAATATATATTTTTATAAGAATCGACTTTATAATTACATAATTTTATTAAATTTAAAAAATCTAGAAAATGACGAATTATTTGACAATATATTTTAAATATATAATTATTTGTATATATATTTTACATGAAAATTGACAAAATCTAATTAAGTTATAATAAAGTATTTGAAAGCAAAGTACAGATGATTGAATACTTATTTGTAAACTGATAGGAAAGTTGTGTATAAATTAAATTTGAGAGCAAATGAGTTCTTCACTCATTTGAAAGAAAAGTTTCGCAGAAACAGTCCCAGAGTTAGCACTCCGAGAGCACCGGCCGCTCCGTAAAGCAGTTTCTTCTGTCCCGCAACCACTTTGTCGTCGGATAACTCGATCACAGACTCCTGTGGAGGGAAATGAAGGAAAGGGTGTTAGTGGTGGACAGGAGGGTCAGTGGAGAGGCATACAAACCCAGCCCCCATTATCACGGATCCATGGGTTGAGGTGTTGTGTGACATAAGTGGTGATCCAATGCGAGACTTCATTCACTAGATTTGGGAAACCGTTTTGAACGCAATTGAACGCGAATTCGGCGCCGAAGACCAGGAAAGTGATGATATGATGCCATTTGATGCCTTCGATGAACAACTCGTTGGACACACTGTTGAATGTTGTCATCGCCGTCGAGGGACTCAACTCCAGGCGCTCACACATCGCAGCCAACTGTTCCTCATATAAGTTCACGTATTTGTGGCCCAATGTCTTCAACGCGTCCACTATTTTAGTCCTATGAGAGTCACTGTTGACACCGTTTGGCACCACTTCCTCTGGAGTCCAATTGTATCCTTTGAGAGCCAATTGTGAACACAAGAACTCATTGACTATCGACTGAAGCGAACTCTCCATTCGGTGACCATTTGTTCGCACTTCAGACACATTGGATGAGCCATTGGTGGCCATTATATCAATAGTGCACTCAATTGGGATGTACTTCACAGACAATCAATAATCACATGAAATAATCTTTGGATCAATTGGAAAGACATTCATTAGTAGACGACAAACGAGTCAATTGTTGGCCAATGCGGTGACAGCGATGTGGTGGATGTGGTGCATGGGTTGCGGCGATGTCTTGGAGTGGTGTGTCATCCAGTGGTGAATGAGTGGTGAATGAGTGATGTCTGAGTGGATGGTGGAGTGGTGTTTCAGCAAAGGTCGACAAACTGTCAGATATTTGTGTATTAATTGAGGCATTCATTCATTCATTCATTCAATGCATTCCTACGCTAATAATGGATACTCTCCTACAGACAGACTTAACAATGAGTGCAACACTGAATCACCACTCAATTACGGCCACAAATAGCACACAAACCCAATGCACTCTCCATGAGGTGGTCGTCGTTGTGGACGACGTTATTGTTGCCACAAATTGCCATATATTGCAGTATTCGCTGAACGTATGCATAGGTTTGGCAGCGATTGCAGCGATCGCTTCCTTTTGTGCCGATCTCTCAGCGAAGCATTCCTTAGACTCAGGGATACGCCACTCAATGGCCAGCACTACAGCACTACAGCCACGCCACCGACCCTTCACAGGCACCCATACATTGCAAACACGTTTAAAAGGCATTCAATCGATGCAAACATTGGTTTTGCAGGAATTCTTGTGGTGTTTATCACTTGCAATGGCATCCCTTTGGAGGTGATGTTGAGGTCAGAGGCAATCAAGTTTTCAAACACCACTCATACCTTATATAAGCCATTCATTTATATTGCACCATGGTAGCATGCAAACAATACACTCTCGCCATACAACTCATACAACTTCTATAACTTCCCATAAGTTTACTCTTAATTCAAATGTCAATCAATTAGTTGAGTGAATGAGATATTATTGATTCAATGCTTACAAACAATTTATTAATTCTCAAACATATTGAATACAAAATCTTATTATAAATACAATAAGTATTGGATAAATACAGAGACTAGAAAATTACCCCAAAATTTCAACTTGTTTCAAACAATTTCACTTTTCGTTGAATTTTTGTAATGAAGTTTAATTATAGCTTATTATTCGTATTCATTATAAAGATTATTAAATATATTTATTATTAAAAATAACTTTCATTGCATGTAATAAAGAAATTAACAAAAATAGCAAAAACATCAAAACTTAACGCAATGTCAATTCTTGTGAGCGTTTAGAACCTGAACTTTAGATACAAATTTTAATCAAAAGGTCATTGAAGTCATGGTAATCATAAGGGTTGTCGACAATGCAGTCATCGAAGTACATTGTCATGGATGGGATCCTCATAATCACAATTATCATCAATTATATCCAAGTGATACAGGGGTTCCTCGTAATCCATGTCTGACACAATGTCCTCGTAATCTAACAAACATTTTAATTATTGCTTTTCATTGCTCACATGTCATCATATGATCGTATAATGAAATATTAATGAACGCAATACGATATGAAAGCTGAGATTTATATTATTTATAAATTACGATATAATGCAAGAGATATATCACTAATTTTTGTTATAAACTGCAAATCGTGTTCACGTTTGGGACACCACTTAACTCAACCCATAGTCGAGATCTTCGTCGTCGTCGTAGTCGTCATAAAAGTCGTCGCAATCGTCCTCTTCATAGAAGTCCAACTCATCCATCATATCATTATAGTCATCGTCGGGTCCACTATTGTAGCCATTCTGTTGATCCCACCCGTGATCGCAGTCATTGTATTCACATTCATCGCAATCAATCAAAATCTTCAGATTCTTTGGTCGTTCCGACTCTTGAGGAACAGATTCTTGCGAGACATTAGTATCGATAACATCCAGTTTGAAGGGTTCGGTTGGACTCATGTCTGCTTTAGTCATGAATGAGTCGACCACTGCTTTGGTGATATGGGAACAGTTGTGGAGTATTAGCTGTCGCAGAAGAGGACATGAAGTAATCACGACAACGATTTGATCGTTTATATTGAGACAATCCTTAAGATTCAAATGCTTCAAGTGCTTCATCTGTGAGATGGCAGACATGGCAGCGCCGGTCATACTATTGGCGCGTCTTATCACAAGTTTCTCCAATGAGTGGCAGTTCTCAGAGATCTCTTGCAGTGAGCCGTCATTAACGGCGATGTTATTAGTCATCGAAAGAATTACTTCCAAATCCAATAACTTTGTACTCTTGAGAGAGCGGATCAAAACTGTCAACTCTTCAGCTGTAAGTCTCGAGTCGTCACTCACTTCCACTCTAAGACTTTGCAAATGGATCAAATTGGAGAAGAACTTGAAGTCAAAGTCTTGTGAATAAAGTGTTATTTTGAAAGTTTTTAATTCAATCAAATGGTGACAAATCAAAGACAACACCGCGTTATCCTTGATATCCATCTCCAGTCGTGTCACTCGTTTCCCATTTCCTTCGCACAGATTCCTGAAGATCTCCACATCTGTCACTTCACTCTCAGTCAAAATCAGTTCATTTATCTTTGGACCTAATCTTTCAAACTCTGGTCTCAAGATTGTGCCGTTTTTGTTGATATCAATTGTCTCTAAGTTCTGGGAATCCATTAAACAATTCAAACCTTTTTCGCCGATATTTTGCGAAATAATTCTCTTCAGGCGTCGGAAGTATTCAATATTATTGACGATATGGTCGTCGATATCATCAATTAGATCCAAATCTAGTTCTTGCAATAGATGGCAATTGTCGACAATAGTGGTCACAATGTTGTCCTCGTCTTTAGCGGTCGGGAATTTGGATGACTTGAAGACGAAAGAGTTCTTCAGTCTTAGGGTCCGGACATTACAACACTTGGCCACCAAAAGACACAACGCTTTCATTGACACTCCTGTGGGTCCGATGGCGTGTCCGTCGATGACTGCCTCCGACTTCATCGACTTGTCCACACAATCCCTCCATTTCACACAAACTCTTCGGAAGGCAACCCTTTCTGCGAGTGGGAAGTGCTTAAAGACTTTGAGGAGCACTAACTCATCGAAATCACAGACAATTTGTGGCGAAACTATGCTATCGATTGGGTCGGTGGGCACCCATTCACACCAATCCGTGTCACTCATCACTATAAATGGCAGCACAAGACAATGGTTTGAATGACAGATGAGTGGATCAGTTGATTGACAGCGAAGAGAGGATCAGATGCCAGTGAGAGTCAAGTGAAACACATGTCAAACAATAACACACTTTGAATGAGCGCTACATTTGAACCGCAATTTGCGATACAAACTCACTGTTAGTCTATGTATCCGTTGATTGTCTTACAGTCTATTAGAAACTATTAGACAATATTTGCATCCATTCATTCAGTTTGTCTCTTCATATGAATCAATACACTCTTTTCAATACAATTATACTTCCAATAACTTAATTATTTAAATGATATGCATCTACATTGAGATTATTAAGATTATTAAATTTATATTAATTTAAATAATATCCACAACGAGTTTATATCAACTCATTATTGGCGATTAGATTAAGATTAGATTATCACCACTTTTATGATTACAAAATGTCATTGCATACTTATTAGATAACTAACTGATAATAAAAATTTTGTTAACTCAGAGTTTATAAAACTTAATAAAAAAATCTTAATTTTCATAATTAAAATTGAGGGCACGCTGCAAGTTATATTTAATTTTCAAAATCATTACAACCAAAGGGAATTGTTAATTAGACTTAATTAGAAAAAATATTAGATTGAGAATAAATGATGAAATGAATAAAGGGTACTTTTTTGCTTTATTTATAAATAAGTATAAATTTTATTGATTTATAGACAAAATAACTAAAATCAGTTAGAATAATAACATAAATGATTTATTTGTCAATATTTGATTCAAACATTAAACAGTCATTAATGACAATAATTATTGAATAAATGATATAATATCTTCAAATTATATTTAAATCAAAATCAGTGATCATTTGTCCAAAAGCTAAACAAGTAATTAAAAGATATATAATAATTAAGTTATAAGTAATAATAAGTTTTATAATATGTTATAAAAATTCTGAAATTTGGTAAAAAATACAAATACTGTATTTTAATATAATCGCTAAATAATTACAAAATAATTTTCAAGCATTAAGGAATTTATACTTTTTATAAAAGTGATCTTTCATTGATGATAATATACTGTAATTTAGGTGCAAATGAGTGAACGAGTTATTGATTAGTGTCTAGCGTTTGGCCGCATTTCGGCGACAGGTCTTCTTATGTCCTGAATGCCAGTGCTGTTGTTGACATGTAGTGGAACAGTAGCTCGTATTCCAACAGCTAAACACCAAAATGATTAGTGAAATACACCACACATTGACTAACAAACAAGAAATCTTACCAAAAATATATTGCTTCTGCTTCGCAATTAAAACACTAAACAAATCATTTTAATCATTAGATAATATGTTAGACAAGTAGACAATAAATATTTAAAGATATGTTGCGAACCCATTGCTTCTTTTTGATTTGCGAGATCTCCATCAAATGTCTTTCATTCAAAGCACTCATCTCTTGACTGTCATGAGATTCTGACCTCAATTTTCTGACTTCATTCTGAAGTCTATAATTCAATTGCTTAACTGTTTCCAAATCTTTCTTCAACTGCAAAACAATTATATTTAATAAACGCATATTCAGTAGAATATAATGAAATTCATTTGTAATCAAAGAATCACTTGTTTTATTTCTTCCTTATATTGGTTCTCAAGACTGGTCTTCGCTTTCTTCAACATCTTATTGTTGTTTGGATCCGAAGTAATCAGTAATTCTGGCGGCGATATAACCAACGGAGTGGAAGGCGAGGCACCCATTGCTCTCAATTCTTCGAGTCTCATCTTTTCAAGAGTTGCTTTATTTTTCACTCCTTTGGGTCGCCCTCTCTTCGGGCTGACCACCACTGGCGGTGACATCACTGATGAATTCGGAACTCCATTTCCATTGCTCTCAATTCTTCGAGTCTCATCTTTTCAAGAGTTGCTTTATTTTTCACTCCTTTGGGTCGCCCTCTCTTCGGGCTGACCACCACTGGCGGTGACATCACTGATGAATTCGGAACTCCATTCGGTATTTGTCTCGGAAATGATTGCAACGAATGAATGGATTGAAATGACTTCTTATTGCCTTTATTCAGTTCTCGAGTCTTCTTATCCTTTGTTTCATCTCTATCTTTAATGTCACTGCTTTTGAAGGGAATGGTGTCATAATTGGAGTCATCCATTGATTCGTAATCATAGACTTTGTTGCGCTCTATTGACGAAACATTGTTATCGTTGGGCTCTCTCTTAACGACAATTCTTTCGGCTCTAAGTTTTCGTTTAGGGATTTTAACCTCCATTTCCGGCGATTTGTACCGAATGTTTGGCTTACTTTGACGGACCGGTCGACTCCGAGCCAGTGATGGTGAGGTCTGTTCGTTGCTATCATTAGCTTTCAGGCGTTTTGCTCTAACATTCACATCGCTTTCATGACTTGAATTTGAGAAATCGTTATTCATTTCACCGATAATTCCGTTCAAAACTTTATTGCTTTTATTATTGACTGTTTTGTTAGAAGCGAATGAATCGTTTGCAAAAACTGCTGTAATTTCTGACGTGTTGTTAAAGAATTTAGATATTGCCTGCAATTTAAACACATTTTAATTAAAATCTAAACTCATATATTATTTTAATGCTGTTTAAATCCAAGTATTTTTACCTCTCTTTTATTTTTAATAGGCGGTCGACCTCTCGGACTCTTCTTAACTTCCGAGTCAGCAATTCTCGTCTGAAACGGGATTTTCATTCCTCTATTTCGGGTCCGAATCGGAGATTTCACAAAAGGTTTTGGTGTTGAAGTGCGCCGACGTTTGGGACTCATATCATCAGGACTTTTGGGCGAATTTAGCTCATTGTCCGCAATCTGTGAATCAGTTGACGTCTCATTATCGTCCATATTTTCGGTCTTAACTTCATTTCTGTTGAATCGTTTTCGAGGTCGAGTGCCATCGGCTCTCTTTCGCGGTCTTTTTGACGCCAGACTTCTTGTTGACGTGACCGACGACTGACTCGTTTCACCGATAGGACCGCTCAATGACTGCAAATTGTTTTGATAGGCCTTTAACTCTTTGAGGGCTTGAGCTATTCCCCCGCTGCCGAAGCAATACGCTTCAAGAACATCACATCTTGGTTACCCAAATTATAAGAACATTAGTTAACTAAGAGAAAGCACTTTCCTAGGTTTCTTTGCTTGCATTGTAAGCAACGAGAACTCATCTCTTGAGATGACTTTTGAGGGCCAAAACGGATAACCCTTTTGCTTAGCATAAACCAAATCGTGCAGAGGATTGCATGGCTTACAGAACCAGTTTTTGTCCACTTTTTGATTTATTTCCGATTTATAGCAATCAACACATTCTCGGATTTCATTCAACTCTTTCAGACAATCATCTAATGCCTGTGCGGTTATGGTTGCAGTCGTGCTAATGGTTCCGTACAATAAAGTCGTGCAATGGATTAGGTTTTGGACATCGATTTGGAATTCAATTAATCTCTTGTATGCATTAGTTTTGGTTTTGTTCAAAAGTAGCGATAAATCTGTTTTATAAAACAGCAAATGTTTTGAATTCATGTCCACTTTTATATTGGTCACCAATTCAACAAGTTTTCTGTTTTTGGCCACCATTTGATTGTAAGCGTAATTCAATATTTCATTCAATTCTGGCACTGGTATGGCTCGATGACAGGCACTCCCTTCACGTTCTTTGTCTAAATCGAGACAAACATTGCAAACAAACTGTTTGTCGTTTAGATCCAACTTCTCTTTAAGACAATAGGTGTGGTAGACTCGCCAACAGCGCCCACACTCCGCAACAGTTCCCGGTTTGTGGCACTCATAGCAATACCAGTCGTGGCCATCACTCACCCCATCGCTCTCTGGAGGCGAATATACAGTGAGTTCTTCACCGGTTTTGTCGGTTCCCACGCTTTCAACGAGAAGACCCTCTTTAATGGCATTACAGACGTGTTTCTCGCAGTCACTGGAAGTCATTCTGTAATTCTTGTACATATGGGCCTTCAGTTTGTCGAGAGTTGGCGTTTGATTCAACTCTTTTAAGTGCACTATAGTTGGCCACAACTGAGCCATTATTATCTCCGACACCACCGCAGGAGATAGTGTTCGCCGCTCTTTCACCACCACATTGTCATTGTCTGCAAAATAAACACATTTTCCTTAATTATCACTCAATTTGTTGTTTATATTATCAATCATTTAAATATTCAATACACATATCAATAATTTGTTAATTCTCTCATTCAATAACAATATTATATGGAAATATGATTAAAACAAATGCAATCATAACTTATAAATGTGTTATAAGTTTGAGATAACACCCAAAGATGTTATCACTAAATATGGTTAAGCCATGTGTCAGTCAAACATAATATTTAAATTCGGGTCAAAAATATTTATTTCATAAGACATTAACAATAATTAAATGTCAATGAAAGCCATACTAACATTAATTTAACATAAAATTAAAACTAAATTTATGTCAAAGCGTTGAGTAATGTATTTAAATACCGGTTGAAGACATCTTCTCCTCCTGAGATCAATGTCTTATGACATACACTATCCGTACGATTATACCATCGATTGAATGCTAGTTAATTGATCCCAATCACCATATAATCACTTCATAGATATGATAAAAGCCCGTTAATCCTGTAATCAATTAAAAAGAGACAAAAATTAATTAAATTTATTCAATAATTGTTTCGATAAAAAGATTTCAATAAAAACTTTTGCAAATAATTATGAATCCAATAATCATATCATTACTGAAATATAAATTAACAAATGATTAATAAATAAAATGTGATTTTCATAAAAGTTATACAAAAATAAATCAATTTGTAATTTTATATAAATAAAAATAACATAAATTGCCAGATAAGTAATCTGTGTGCAGAGATAACTATACAAAATTATTTTGAAAAAATATGTTTTGAGTAACGAAACTGTAATAAACAGCGAATGATACACTATGGATGTGATTACCAGGCTTATATATACCGATATTAGTGTCTAATGTACGAAATGTCCGTACAATGGATTGATTAGTAAATTGTTTCACTTTTTGTAATTAATTTGCAATCATTTGCACAAAAATTGTCAAAAATATAATGCATATGTTACATATCATATACACGATAACAAACGGTAAAGAATGTTATACAACACAGTTATGTTTGCATATGGAGTACATTTGAGCGTAAGTTACGGTGTATATTACGTTAACTTTTATAAATAATTAGTCAGCGTCCAATGGCTGGCGCTTAGCATTGATTTAAATTGTAGCTTGTTTCAAATTCATGCATTTCCTGTTTTTATTTGTATCCAGTTCTTTTAGAATGACCACGATACTTTCAAACGATTTTCCAGCTTAGTTTTTTTATATCTGATATAATTTATCATTTTTAAAATAAAATCTTAACTCCATTACAAGTTTTTAACTTAAATTTATTTATGCTACTTATATTTTTTGGATAATTTTTCATGATCATAAAGATTTTAAAAATCCAATTTTTAAAATAACAAGTTTTGCTAGATCACTCAATTAATAGTGTGGGAATATGAGTTCAAATTTGTCACTTGATAATTGCCGGTATCATTCAGAAAATATATGACATTAACGATCAAGCAAACTTTAATCGCTTTTAATCAACTTTCAATCGATTTTATGCGTACACTGTAGTCATATAAATTACATTCACTTAACAGTGAATGATTGATAAGAAACAACAAATACTCAATTTATAGATTTAGCTCTGATTCAATGGATTAGCAGTTGATTATAGAGTGAATATTATAAGTATGAGAAGTCATTCGAGCTATCATTCACTGTATTAATAGAGTTTGAGTGCAAATGAAACCCACTTTCACTCAAATGCTACACTATTTCCACAAATGATTTATTTTTTTTCATTGAATTGATTGCTATTTGATTGCAATTTAAGACGAGATATCCGTAAGTAAAATGAATTCAAAGTCATTCGTGAAGAAAGTGCTGAAACGGACTCCTCTTCGGACAAGTTTTATGCAAAACTCGCAAACATTTGCCTCGACTTCGAACAGCACTTCCATATACAGTGCTATCAGTAGTAAACCGATTGCCGGTAAATATGATGAAAATA